GATAACGGAAAAGTCAAACATTGATGATATTGGAAAAATAGTATTGGACCGAAAATGGAATTGGGCGGGTCATATTATAAGAATAAAAGATAAGAGATGAACCAAGAAAATCTTAGAATGGTACCCAATGGACAAAAAGAGAAGAAAAGGAAGACCAACTGCCAGCTGGGAAGATGAGTTTATGAGGAGTTGTGGAGGGCCCAAGGTAGCTTGGGACCGACAAGAATGGAATAGAATGAAGGAGATATACAAGAAAGTATAGCTTTACGCGGACTAAATATCACGAGCATACGAACTCAGTCCAATTATGAGAGTGCCACGATTAACACCAAAATAGTCACCAAAACAAACAAGAGTGAAGATGAAATTTTAATTTGTTAAATTTTGATTTGTTAAATTGTATCATAAATGAAAGGCTAAGTTTACAATATTAATATTAATTTAGTATTAAATGTACAAACGTTTATGACTTATTTCTTTTTGTTAGTGACAAAAATAAAATAAATGGCTATCTATCTATCTAGTAAGAGTCTGTCAAGTAAATAGTACCGCTCCATTTAACTTTTTTTCAGAAATCACAAAAATATGTAATCGCTCCAGATAACGAGATCTACCTTATTTGTTTTAAACCAAACGGTCTTACTAAAAATATCTACAAGAATATAAAATGCTTTTTCTAACAAGACCAAAAATATTCAAATCGATTGAATGGTCCAAGATACGAGCCCTAACAACTATACATATATTGGGACATAATAGAATTTATATGTAATTAACAACAATTAAACAGATTATTTTGTTTTAATACATTTTTCAAATTAATATCATTTAATTAGACAATTAACAACAATTTTATCTAATGAACAACACAAAAATAAAATACATATCCTATTACTTCTAATTAAACTAGAAAAATGTACATTTTGCCTAACAACTATATATTGGGACCATCGAGATACATATAATTTACTGGAGTACGTGCTCACGATATTCGCTTGGTCAAGAAAACGGTCCGATTCGCCAGCATGTTCCCCCATCCTATAACGGCAAGAAATACAAATAGTACTAACTAATGGATATAATTCAGCATGAATTTATTCAATATTTACTAAGTAATTCAAATAATGTTATTCAATAATGATGATTTAATTACTTTCCACGCTGTGCTTTTAGGAATATTAAGTTCGTCTGCTTTTTCAAGTATTGTTTTATTGTGGCAATAATTTTTAATCATTAATTCACGGATTTTTGACTCTGTACAGATACCACGCACCATTTTAATTGATAAATACAGATTTACTCAACAACAACAATCTTACAAGCTTTAGAACAAACCGGCAATTTAACATTTCATTTTACGTTATTTCCACAGTTTATTTATCTTAATTTGTTTCATTTTTATGGAAGTTACTTTGCATTGTTCCAATATTAAGTTATTAGGTAAAATCTACATTTTTCTAGTTTAATTAGAAGCAATAGGATATGTATTTTTTGTGTTGTTCATTAGACAAAATTGTTGTTAATTATATAATCAAATGATATTAATCTGAAAAAATTATTAAAAGAAATTAAACTGTTTAATTATTGTTAATTGTATACACATTTTATTTGGTCCCAATATACAGGGTGATTCACATAAGAACCGACACAGAGCAGGGACATGTAGAGAACAATAAATTAAGATGATTTAACATAACTTACCTCTATACTAAGTTGTACACCCGAGGAGCTATAGGCCTTCAAAGTTGGGTCTTAAATTTTTAAAAAGTTCAATATCTTTGTAATACATTAAGCTAGAAAAACAAAATTTGGTATACGTTAAACTTTTCTTACTCTTATTATTTTTTAAAAAACTTTGTCGTTTTCATAAAAAACTCAAATAACTAAAGACACGTATTTCGTTAATGTTACTTAAAATAAGCGAAAATTCAGTAGTCGGCTTTGAAATTGTACGTCAAACTTGACAAATAGGTTATAAAGTTAATTGACGACAAGGTTTTATAACCTATTTGTCAAGTTTGACGTACAATTTCACAGCCGACTACCGAATTTTCGATGATTTTAAGTAACATTAACGAAATACGTGTCTTTAGTTATTTGAGTTTTTTTATGAAAACGACAATGTTTTTTAAAAAATAATAAGAGTAAAAAGTTTTAGAATTAAATTCCACATGAATTGAGGTAATAATGTATTAAATCCACCAAAAGGTTAAAAAAATCTGACAAACTTGCTACTAATTAATACCCTTGGTACACCCATAATTTATGCCAAATTTGGTTTTTCTAGCTTAATGTATTACGAAGATATTCAATGTTTTAAAAATTTAAGACCCAACTTTGAAGGCCTATAACTCCTCAAGGGTACAACTTAGTATAGAGATAAGTTGCATTAAATCATCTTAATTTATTGTCTTCTACATGTCCCTGCTCTGTGTCGGTTCTTATGTGAATCACCCTGTACAGTTGTTAGGGCTCGTATATAGTATTTGGAAACGCATTGGGATTACTATGACAGATATGAGAAATGTAGAAAAACAAATGCGTTGCGGTATTATCCAAGCTATCAAATAACGATGTCAAAAAGTTACAGCTCATCATCTAACTTGACAAGTGTGCCATGGTAGCGGGAATTTTATGTTTCATTATGACAGTTAAGCCCCCTAGCAGTTGGATTACGAACTTCCAAATATTTCTCTTGCCCACTTTGGTNGCAGGTGGAAACCATATAATGATAATATTGAAGGAAATTTTTAATAACTGTTTGAAACAAAAAAGATACCTGATAGCTGGCTCGTAGCTAAACTTGCCTTAATATACAAAAAAGGAGATAGGGAACAGATCAACAATTACAGACCAATAAGTTTACGTCCGGTGATATATAAAATATTTATGTCCATAATCACAAGGAGAATAGAGCAACACCTACCATCCTCCGAAGATCAAATAGGATTTAAGAAGAACTTCTCCACGCTAGACAATATTTGAGTCGTGCGGCAACTAACAAAAAATGGAATGACTATGACTTCCCAATGATCTTATTATTTGTAGACTTTGAGAAAGCGTTTGACAATGTAAGAACAGAAACAATTTTACAGGTCATACAAACGTCTGGTATGGAAGACCAGTACATTCGTATATTAAACTATACCTATATATAAAAACTCAAAACTAAACATCGAAATGAACAATAATAAAAAGACGATAACTTTAGGAAATGGATTGAAGCAAGGTGATGTGACTTCTGCAAAGTTATTCAATGTAGTATTGGAAACAATGTTTGTAGAAGAAGAATGGAAAGACTTGGGAATAAGAATAAATGAGCAAAGACTAAAGTTTGTTGATGATATAGTACTTATAGGAAAAAACAAAACAAAAGTAAGAAAAAGAAGTAAAAAAACAATATCGAGAAGAGGAAAGCAAACCGGTCTGGAGATCAATATGAGCAAGACAAAAGCAATGTACGTAAATTGTGAACAAAAAAATAAAATAATTGTTAATGGAAAGGAGTAGACATTAGTAGACGACAATCATCGACAAAGTAGAGCATTTCGTATATATCTCGGACAAAAGATTACAACTAAAAACACAGGAGAAGAAATAACATGGAAAATGGCAATGAGATGGCAAATGTTTAGCAGATACAAAAATATATGGAAATCAAAGATACAAATGGAGAAAAAGAAAAAATTGTGGGAAATGTGTGTCATTTCCCTGTCATGATTTATGAATGCGAGACATGCATATTAACAAACAAAATGATTGAAAAGATTAGGGTACCAGCAAGAGGAATGCATAGAAGGATGATTGGCATTACGAAGAATGATAAAAAAACAAAAGAATGGATAACGGAAAAGTCAAACATTAGAAAAATTGGAAAATATTGGAAAAATAGTATTGGACCGAAAATGAAATTGGGCGGGTCATATTATAAGAATAAAAGATAAGAGATGAATCTTAGAATAGTACCCAATGGACAAAAAGAGAAGAAAAGGAAGTTGTGGAGGGCACAAGGTAGCTTGGGACCGACAAGAATGGAATAGAAAGAATGAAGGAGATATACACGAAGTATAGCTTTACACGGACTAAATTTCACGAGCATACGAACTCAGTCCAATTATGGAAGTGGTGTTAACCATGGTTATACCATGGTTAACACCAAAATAGTCACCAAAACAAACAAGAATGAAGATGAAATTTTAATTTGTTAAATTTTGATTTGTTAAATTGTATCATAAATGAAAGGTTAAGTTTACAATATTAATATTAATTTAGTATTAAATGTACAAACGTTTATATGAGTTGTTTCTTTTTGTTGGTGACAATAAATGGCTATCTATCTATCTAGTAAGAGTCTGTCAAGTAAATAGTACCGCTCCATTAAACTTTTTTTCAGAAATCACAAAAATATGTAATCGCTCCAGATAATGAGATGTAGCTTATTTGTTCTTACTAAAAATATCTACAAGAATATAAAATGCTCTTTCTAACAAGACCAAAAATATTCAAATCGATTGAATGGTCCAAAATATATTAAAATATAAGTATTTGGAAACGCATTGGGCTTACTATGACAGATATGAGAAATGTAGAAAAAGAAAAGCGTTGCGGTATTATCCAAGCCATTAAATAACGTTGTCAAAAAGTTACAGCACATCAACTAACTTGCCAAGATAGCGGCAATTTTATGTTTCTTTATGACAGTTAAGCCCCCTAGCAGTTGGATTACGAACTTCCAAATATTTCTCTTGCCCACTTTGGTAAGGTTTTTTTGCCAAACGTCTAGGCTCTAGGCCTTACCATTGTCGGCATTGTCAAACCTTAAAGATTTAGATTGAGAACTTAAATTGGTTTTCTAAACTTTTTGTCTTATTGTCCTGTTATTTTTGTTGCTGGCTAACAGCAATTAAAAGTATTTGACTTGTGAAAGTCAAAATTTGGATTGTTGTTATAAGTTCGCATTCTACACATCTAATAACTTATGAATTAATTAAAGTATTTACTTGATGTTTTGGTGGATTCCAAAATCTTTGTTGATAAATTGTTCCTTTATCTTTGGGTGGTTCAACTGCGTAGGTTGCCCATGGTGAAAGCCGATCTTCTTTTACACCATTCTCCATTTCTACAACCACCTGTTTATAACAAAAATATAATTTATATAGATTTGTTTTCTTTTTAGCGTTTCAAAACCAACCTTTAATTCTGAGAGGTGTTTTATTGGACAAGAACCATCTTGATTTGGTGGTAACTTAAGTTCCCATTTACCAAATTCAAGTTTTTTATATTTTGTTTCATCCCTATTCCAATTATCTAAACATCGCAAAAATCAAAACTCAAATAACAATCATGCGGATTTTAATTCAGTTTAAGCTAACATACTGAACTCTCCCGTTAGATATAATTGATTTGCACCTGGTGCCCATTCTCTACATATTACAGAATTATCTGGTTGTACATTAATCCCATAGTATTTATAACCTTGAGTGAAATCATCAAAACCAGATTCGCTTTCATCAATTTTTTCTTTTAGATCCAAAAAGCAAGCATATCTAAAAAATTAAATAAAATTTCAATACATAATTAAATAATAATTCTTTAAAATTATTTAAAACAAATTAACTTGTAAACGTGGATAATAGATGGCGTCAATGTGAAATAGAAATTTAAAACTTTTAACCTTAATTTATTATTTAATAAATTCGATTAAATAATTAATTAATCATAAAATATTCGTTTAAATTGTAACCCACATGGACAACATTTCTACAATAAAGATAAGGAATTAATAGAAAATTGACCTTGGATAACCTTCAAATACCATCAACATTTCTCTTAATCACAAAACTTTATACTTTAATCAATTTTGTAAAAAAAAAATGCTCACCTTCTCCGAATTTCCTTCTCGTAGGGTTTAAGATATGAATCCCTTTCAAAAAGTGCCTCGATATTTGGTACAGGAACTTCCATTGGATCTAAAGAAGAATATTTACCACCCATATTTTAATTATACAATTACAGCCGCTTTATAAACTTAAACCTTTATTCGTTCACTTTAACAGTTAAAGTAAGCGCCAATCAACGCAATGATTCGTTTATTTAGTAAGAAATGACCTTACCTTATCTGGTTTTTGTAAATGTATGCGCGCGATCACATTGAGGTTATGTTCAATCCGGTTCTAATACAAGATTTTTATATTAGTTTGGTTAACGTTTGGTTCACCAAGAAAGATATTTAATTACTTACTTTCGTAAGAGTTATTTGATATTTGAGGTTTGTATTTAATTTCTTATCGTAGGATTATGAAATAAAAATGTCATATTATTTTTTTGAAATTTTATTTGCAATAAGCTTATCTGCAAAAAAGTATGTAGGTATTAAAACAAATCGGGCTAAGCTTTTTGGCTCAGAATTTATGCAGTAATTTCATTTAACTTTTATTATTGTTGTCAACGTTTATTATTTAGTTTTCTTTTTATTATTGTATTATTGTAGTATTGCTCTTTTCTTTCTCTGACAAGGGAAGTAATACAACTATAGCACACCGATTTTGATGATATTTGGTACAGTCATAGAATGGACCAAAATAAGGTTTACGTATTTTTTTATATGTACGTGCGGTAAAAGCCCCTGGGCCGAGTTTTAGTGGTTGAAAGTTTGGGGAAAAAGTTGATTGGTTGCCATAATAACGAAACAAAAACAATACAAACAAGCAAATACCGCCAAAAAATGCGCCACAATTAATAAAGAAATTTTTTTGTTAACAGAAAAATGTTAAAACCACAAATGGCGAAGTTATTGGCTATATTTCAGACATTTGACATACCTGTATAACAATATATTTAGAAGAGATGTATTTTAAAACTCAATGTCTTCTTAATCTTTGGAATTGAACCCCCCTACCCTAATTCCATATACAGGCTGTCCCAGCGAGACCGTTCATTAGACGTTTCTGGGGTTCTGGCCAAACTTGCGTTCTCTTCGACTAAAATATTTTCAGATTTCTAGCACTTCCGGTTATACCAGAAGTCGCCACCTACTTTATTTTTTTAAATGCAACATCCTGTATATTTTTACATATTTGGATTTATCTATTTTCAAAGTTTATGAATAACTTTATTTTTTGCAATTTGATTCGGCCGTTCTCGAGTTATTCGGTTTTTTCTAAAAAAAATCTGCTCTAGCAGACATTTGTTCAAAAAATCAGAAAACACTTGATTTTTGAGATATGAATTTAGGATTCGGAACATCCTTAAGCAACATGATGGAATATGTTTTGGTGCCGAGAATGGCTGTTTAGATCGTTTGGTCACTTTACTATGGCACGTTAACGTTTCGAAATTTTTTTAGCCAACTATGGTTTCCATTTAAAAAAATAAAGTTACGTCTAAAATCTCCGAAAATAAAAGAGATAGAAAAAAAGTAGCTTACATGTCATGATCCCGTTTTTCGAGAAAATGTTAATGCCGAAAACTCCGAACGGCTATCGTCTTTTGTTCTCGCCCTATCGGCAAATACTGAAAATTTTGCGAAAACGACAATCGCGAATAACTCACTTTTTTTTGGGAATTGGGATTTTTTTTCCCATCTTTTATTTTCGAGATTTTAGACGTAACTTTATTTTTTTAAATGGAAACCATAGTTGGCTATGACCTAAAATAATTTGTTATTTTCTTCTGATCACAAATATATATAGTTTGTGGGGTATATTTCTTATAGTTATTGAATAATTAACAAAAATTCATTTTATTCTATCTAAAACTATTGTATGTATTTAAAAGTTAATGTTGTTATGGTGATAACCATGCCATGATGGAAAACATTGTTTCCAATTATTGCCAAAGTTTGTAGTAGTATTTAAAAATTCACTAACAACTCTGGCGTTATGTGCTGGTGCTCCGTCATATTGAAAATATATCATGAGACATATTTAATGGCAAATTGTCGACCAAAGGCTCAATGTGCTGCCTTAATGTATTGAGGTATTTACCTGAGTTTAAGTTTTTATGGTAGATACTATATGCCAAATATCTATTATCTAAAAGCGCACACCATACAGTAAACCCCAATCTTCTTTGAACACTCAGAGACTTCATCGGTCCAGATGACATTTTGAACAAACAGCAGATTATTTAATTTTTCTAAATATCATCTACAAAATTCTAATCTTATTGTTAGATTGACATCTTCGGCACGTAAATAATGAGTAAGCCCCGCTTTGTATGGTTTATATTTATTTTTATTTCATATTCGGGAGCAGCGGCTGTTGGGTAAGACGTCTTGTTCAATTTCTCTGCAAGATGTTGAAGGATTTATCGCAAGTAAAGCCAACACATTGACTTCATCCTCTTGCAGGTCATTTTGGTATGTTTTTGCACGTGGTTTGGGGAAGGACCAAAAATCTATTAAATTTTCTGCTAATCCGCTGAAGGTTCTTACGTGCGGTTGTCTTCTTTCCGGATACCTTGTGAAATATAATTCCGCTGCTAACGTGGCATTCTTATCTGATAACACAGCATTCTATCATGTTACATTTTTCATAATTTTCGAAATTCATTGTGAAGTTTTATTCAGTTTTGTTATACTTTGACACTTAACATGCTGGTGCTTCGTACCAGCACATAATGCCAGATTATCGAATTTTTAAATACAAACTTTGGCAATTATTTGATACATTATGTTTCATCATAGTATGTATGGTTATCACTATAGCAACATTAACTTTTAAATACATACATTGGTTTTAGATAGAACAAAATGAATTTTTGTTAATTATTCAATAACTACAAGAAATATACCCCACAAACTATATATATTTGTTATCAGAAGAAAATAACAAATTATTTTAGGTCATAGCCAACTATGGTTTCCATTTAAAAAAATAAAGTTA